GGCTCATCTGGGAAAGATTTGGAAGTCCCTCAGCATGAATGAAAACATACAAATGGATTTAATCAGGTTGGAGAGGGTTCAGGAGGGCTGCTGCTGGCCCTTGCTGCCTGCCTGCTCCCCACAGCCCTATCAGTATACACGATCTAAACTTGGTCAGCCTCAGCTTTGGGGACTGGAAGAGGACAGGAGGAGTACTAAAGGGACTGAGGAGAGGATGTGCTTCATTAATGGAGGTCTAGCTCATGAACCCCTGCCAGTGTCTTTAGAGTGTGCAAAGATATCGTGCTGAAAAATTGCACCAGAATTTAAAAGTTTGATGTAGATTGTTTTGTAGGTGTAGCTGAACATTGGTGAGTTTATCCACATTTAGATGGAGGCCTCCAGCATGATGGTTCCTATAGCGAGTTTTCTTTGCTTCAGTGGTCTGCACGGTCCCTGAATCTAAACCCCATCAAACATCACTGTAGCAGCTGGTACCCACTAAAGTGTGACTAAACAACATAATGACACAAAATGGTTAATTTAGTTAATTCCACAAGACAAAACAGAACAGTTTTGGGGATCAGGAAAGGTTTCAAGTAGAAACTCATAGCTTTTGTGGTTTGGACTGAAAGCTGGCTTAGACCCAGAGTTCCATGTTTGGACTTGTCACTGACTACAAAATGATGCCCTCAGAGTTGAGTCATTAATGATGGATTTCTGTACTTTTTACAGGTATCACTGAAGTGTAATTCCTGTGCAAATTACTGTTTTTTTGTCATATTTGTCAAAGACTAATGGTGATATATAATGAGCTGTGCTTTATGTGTGCCAGGACCATTTGGAACAGTCTGTGCCCTTGTGATAGATATTAGTGACTGAAACTTGGTAGATGCTACTATGTCATTATATAATAAAATAGAATAAAAAATCATTTTCACAACAGCATCATGGACATCGAGGGAAAGTGGCAGAGTGCTTGAGTGTTCCCAAAACAATGCTGTTGTGCAATAAGCAGATGAATTTTTTTACAGGTTTTGGTTTAATCCCATTTCTTCAACATGTCAAGGCAGGCTATTGTGTGCATGTAAACTTAATTAATAATACTGTATATGTGCTGTGTTCTTTCTCTTCTTGGCTTCTGTATTGGGTCTTCTATGGGGCCTTACGTTGTTTTATGGTAAGGAATATATACCTCCTGACTCGTACTGTCCTTTTAACTTGATTTTACAGCCTGTCTAATGCTGGATTTTTTGTTTCATCACTGACACTGTCAGCAAGTTATGCAACTCTTTTGTTAATGTCATCAGCAGTTCATATGTGGAATGTCTGGAGTGACATATTTCACTTTCAAACGGCCATGTGTGTCTTCCACGCTACAGTCTGACTACTGCTGGCTCTGAAGTCAGTGAAAAGTCATATTCTGTCAAGCATGTCAACAGTGATGCTAATGTGTTTACAAATGAAAGAGACAGGCAAAATTCTTCAGGGAATGTAAACAAAACAAGGAGGTGGTGAACGATTTACATTCTTGATTGATGATTGATTGATTGATTCGGTATAGGCTATTAATGAAAAAGTTCAGCAACTTCTTTTTTTCTCTACAGAATGTCTCTAATATGATGTAGATTAAGAGACTTTCTCACTAACACAAACATCCTTGCAGGCCTGCACATAAAGGCATTGTGCAATGTGCTTTAAGCAGCTGCGCTCCGTTTTCTGATTAATGACTCAGGATATTTGAATGAAAATATCAAAACAAGACAAGAAACTGTTGCAAGTCTCAAAGCCACAAATATCAAGCTCACAATGGTTTGGGGTTCAAACGAAGACTACTGCTTGCATGTCACGGCTGTTTTCTTGAAGACTTTGTGTTTCCTCCTGCCCACACAGCCTCTTGTTTAGAGGTTTTGTATTGTTGTCATTGATGTCATTAAGCTGCTTGTAAAGTGAGTCTGTTTGCTTTAAGGCGTTCTCAAGCACCAAAACCAGCTGGAGAACACGTTCCCACTGCATAACATGCAGCTTCGGAGTGTTACTTCAAAGGAAAAGAATTTCGTGTTGACTGTCTGTAACAGCCATCAGCCGACACTGATGGCTCCCATAACATGAATCTGTTGCGAATTAAAACAAATGTGTATTACTAGCCCAGTTCTCCTACAGCTATGCTAGATTAACCTAAGTCTTGTGTTGGCCTTTATTACACTGTCCATTGAGGATTCTTCCAGAACAACAATCTTTGACTTGATTTATGTGCCCCTTTATATGTGTGTATATACACCAACCTGGCACTTCATTAAAACCACCTTTTATCTGTAGTCGTTGTCCATTTTATCATCATCACTTACTATATAGATGCACTTTGCAGTTCTGAAATTACAGACTGTAGTCCATCTGTTTCTCTGCATACTTCGTCACCCCCCTTTTATCCTGTTCTTCAATGATCAGGACCCCCCCCTCAGAGCGGGTATTATTTGGGTGGTGGATCATTCTCAGCACTGCAGTAACACTGATGTGGTGGTGGGGGTGTGTTAGTGTGTGTTGCACTGGTACGAGTGGATCAGACACAACAGTTTTAAAACACCTTAATGTAAACACCTTAATGTCACTGCTGGGCTGAGTATAGCCCACCAACCAAAAATATCTAGCCAACAGCGTCCTGTGGGCAGCGCCCTGTGACCACTGATGAAGCACCTAGAAGATGACTAGACTAGAACAAAACTGTGCAGCTACCGTCTCTGACTTTACATCTACAAGTTGGATCAACAAGGTAGGAGTGTCCAATAAAGTGGACCCAGTGTTTAAAATCTCCAGCACTGCTATGTCTGATCCTCTCGTACCAGCGCAGCGCATACAAGCGCTCCACCACCATTTTGATAGATATATATATATATATATATATATATATATATATATATATATACACATACACACACACACACACACACACACACACACACACACACACACACCACGGTTTGACAATATAAAGGTAAATTGTTATCATGATAAATTACATCACAACACTTTTTTTTGAGGATATCAATATCAGGGGTTTCATCAGTGTTTTTAGAACACCGAACAACTGCATGTTGAAAAAGAAAAAGAGAGAGCCAACAACCAGTGTATTATAATTGATTGGGTCATCCCGTTATGCCATTATCTTATATTATTAGTTTACTTTTGCCAGTTGTTTATTTTTTCTCTCCTGATCTTTCTTCTATTGTGTTTATTTACCCCATTTTTGCAATTCCATGGTCTTTTAGTGTTTAGTGGTCTTTTAGTGTTTCCATGGTCTTTTAAAATGTGGCACTACTTTGTTGCTTTTGCATTTTGCCCATTTCAACTTCTACAAACCTCAGAAAAAAGAAGATCATGATGTGTATTGTTTATCGTGAACATGCCTGCAAGTGTGGTGTTATTTTTCCCATGTCGTCGACTTAATATTTAGCCTTCTGTGTTGGAGAGTTTGCACCTGGGATTGTTTTGCTCATGTTGTCTGCCTGTATTCTTAGCTGGCCTACTGACTCACTGTGCTGAGAATTACGAAGGCCTTAAGGGACACAAGAGACGGATGTTAGTCAGTACCTCCAGCATACCACAGCTCTAAAATGGCTTAGCTGCTGGGTGATGCTATTTTCTATGTGAAGTTTTCCTCTAATTGGTGATATTTTTCTCATTATTTATGCGCAAAACGTCAATGAGTTTGTTAGATTCTTTTTGCTGTGATGCTGGCATACATGGACTCATACATGCACTTAGTCATTCACACAAACACACACACATGACTTACTTCATTTTGAGGCTGTGCCCTGTTGATACACTCAGAGTGCCAGCACGAGTTGGTTTTGACCACACTGACAGTATGCCCATTGTTCAGCAGAAGGGGCAGCTGGCTGTCAGTGATTCTGTCTTCCTATCTGCTCTCACTCACACTTAAGCCTCATCTGTTAAAGCCGCAGCACTACATCATCAGACCTGGAACAGGACTCCCCCTTTGTTATAGAGTGTGGTTTAGTCTCTGGTGTCATTGGGCAGTTAAAGCCCTCAGCACCTGACTTGGAACACCAGGAGCAGCTTGTCTTTTCTTGCATGTTAACAGAAATAGCATTTAAAATCACAAAAAATATGTCAAAAGTATTAAAACCTCTTGATTTTCTCTTTAAAAGAACATTATGGTAATGAAAAATTAAAAATGTACTAAATTTTGCTTATCCAAAATGTGGTCAATTTGCCAAGAAGTATTTGATGTCTAAAATCCACTGCTTTAGTTTTGAACTGTCGCTACGAGGCTAATTAAGCTAAAATAATGGAAGGCCTACATGCCATTGGACAAACTGCATGCCTAAATCATTACACACTTGCCTCAAACTGTAATAAAATGTTAGGTATACTCAAATAGGCTTGCTTACGTGGTTTCTGACATTGCTTGACCTGCTGCTATCTATGAAAAATGGACAGGAATGTGTTGCGTTGGTGTAAGTATTAGTATTGGCCTTCTAGGAACCTGTATTTTGTCCATACTTTTATCCATTTTTTACAAAAATAATTTTAATAAATCTGCCACAGCCTCTTTCTTTTCTATTTAAATGTTCTGCTGTTTTTACATGCCATACTTTGCTTCGTCATGGCCTGCTGGGTCTTTTAATATCACACCTTTAACGTTAACAGCGCGTCTGGGCTCACCAGGACACTTCTCTTCTACAGTCAGCAATTTAACACACAAGAGCTTATGCTTGGGGACATTAAAGTAGCATGACATGTTCACACCTTCAATTTTTGCCATATGTCTTAACCTGTATAGTTCGTACCTAGAACCTTTCTCCCCGATATGTCAATGGAAACCAGCAGGTGGGTGGAAGTAAATGAAAACCTGCCATGTTAACAAAGCTTGCAATGTGTGGTTAATTCCTAGAGGGCATGGAGTTAAGAACTCTTGCTCTCCCTCATGTCAACCTTTCTTGTTTTCCTCAAGGGCACTGAGCACAGTGTTTAAGGTGTTTATTCTGTCCTCTCTACAGGCAACCCAGGAGTAGTCGGATTTTATAAAACTTTTATGTGGACGCTGTATCAGGCATTTAATCGACAATACCCAGTATGGAGCGTCGGTCATGCTGGACATTGTGCACCTCCAGACTCAATGGACATGGTCGAAGGTAGGTCATTACGAGTTTTCCATTTTTTATAATATTTGATCTTATCCATATTTAAGTATGATGACAAGATCACTGTTGCTATAAAGTCAGTAGGTGGCAGCAGACAATTAAAGTGGTAATGAGACTGCAGTTGTCCAGGGAAATATGTGGCACATCAAGCAGTAAGTTAGAACCCACTAACCTAAAAGAAAATGCCAAAATGGCCCATTTTTATGTTTACTGTAGCCTGTATTTAGGTCAGTGTTTTCTATATTCAATTCTTTTTTTATTTTGGGTTTACTCTTTATATAAGCATTTCCAATTTTTCACAGCTTGCTGAGCTTTAGGTGTTTTTATTTGCATTGTGTGGAGTTATCAGGCAAACCTTAAGCGAAGTAAGACGCTCCTCTGTCAGGTCTACCCCACAGTAAGGTGGAATGTGGAATGTGGACAGTGTTGGCCAACCAAGCCAGGCAGCCTCTTTCTATTCTTCCCTGTGCCAGTATATGAAAGTGCAGTATGTTCATCCATAAAGCAGTGTGGACGTTTTTATTGAGCTCGCTACGTGGGAAAGACATTAGCCAAGCCCACCTGTAATAAGCCAAACCACATACAGATGGCTAGGATCTCTGAAAACAGCACTTCCACTGGCTAGCTTGATGGATTGGACAGCGAAGGTGGAAGCTGGCCATATCAGGTCCACAGACAGGACGAAAAACTGTGTAGGCCATTCACTTCTCATTAGATTCTATTTAGACTTATTAACATATTTTTCACATATTTATGACACCTGATCTTGGATAATTCTATCAGTCATGTAATTACCAATGTGGTTATGTCATGAAATTAGATTTGTTTGCTGTTAAAAAAAAAGAGCTGCATCTGTACTATACAGTTGATCACCAAAGACAGTAATGTTAATACAGTGTTTCTTTAATATCTTGAAAATGGTGAGTAAACAGAAACTACAGGTTGACAGATATTAAGTTGCTCATGTGCTCAGTGCTTTCAAGGTGACATGATATATTACCTCTACTGTTCCTTGAACAGTTCCTTGTACTAAGTGGACGACATAAGCATTTCGACAAATTGAAGCAATGAACAGTTCCTCTTTTTATCATGAACACATGGCGAACGCCCACAGAACTGAGGCTGTAATTTATTCATGGACACATAGGCAATATCTGGTGATGGTCAAACAGCAGACGATGACATCCGTTGCTGTTCGTATCATGTTGTCCCATCACTAGCGAGATGATTAAAAGTCAGAACTTGCCGATGAAATCAAACGTGCCAAGAGATGACAACAAGCGGCAGGCTTTTGCCAAAGCAGCATAGATAAAAGAGAGGATATAATTAAAAGTTATATTTCTTCTTCCAAAGCTCTCTGTTTGAGTGACATTCCTGATTATCATCAATGGTAAACTTAAGCAGGGCGGTATCAAGTATACAGGGTGCTTTTTTCTTTTGGCCCATTGTCTTGTTCTTCTCAATGATCCATCCCTCATCATGCTCTGCCATTTGGTTCACAGATGCCCATGTCCAGGGAAGTAGTTGCTTACGTTACAACCCACTGCAGAATTTATAGAGTATCAGACTGAAACCAGCTAAAAGATCTTATGGACCTTTTATATATCACAGGGACTTGCTTGGTTATTAAAGGATTTTAAAAAAAAATTAAAAAGCTGTCTTGTCAGTTTGTCAGTTTTAACTGATTATATTAAACAATCATTTCCAAGTTATTTTGGCCCAGTCATACTTTTTTCTCTATCCATATAGTGACACATGATGAAATCATGGTTGTACCGAAGGGAGGTGCAATGCTCACAAAATCAATGACCCCATAACTGCCAGGTTTGTGAAAGCTTTAATCACATGCAGTTTCAAAGATAGTGATCAGTAATATTAGCATCACATCAGCCAATTTGAAAGGTGTCTGGTATTAGGGGACTTTGTATTTAGTCAAAGATTAGAAAACATGACAAATCAGTTACCAAAGTTCGGTAATAAAAAGGGGTGTAAAAATGCAATAATGCATGATCAGTCTGTATCAAGCTGAAGGCGGCTTTTTAACTGCATCAATTTGGAATGTCAGGGCTGGTTGTAATTAGTGGTGTAACAACATTGTGACATTGTGATAACATGATGCGAAACTGTGACAGTGTGCGTCGTTTAGATTAGGGGTGTACTTTCCAACTGAGTTTGGCATTCAAGTGTCCGTAAGGCTTAATGAAAGAATAATCAGTTTGAAAACGCTGGTGCTGTGCAAAAATTAATACCTGCGAAATAGGGTTCGTGTTGGATGAGTAACAGAGGCTTTCTGTTCAGATGAGCTAAGGAGCTTAAACTTCAGCTAATTGGCACAACCCAGAATACTGATGATGTCTCGTTGTCCTGTTACAGATGAACGGTGTGCCAGTATGTTCGTTTAAAGGAGCCGTATGTTTTCAGTTTCTGGACCTTCAGCTAGCGACGTTAGCTTCGTTAGTGTTAAAGCCGTGTTGTCTCTGCCTTTACAGTCACTTAATAATGTGCATCTTTGACAAAGCTCATATTAAGAGACTCATGGTTCATAGCAGCGAAGTGTAATATACTCATGAATATGAGCAAACACCACAATTTGCTGTACTCTACAAACATGCAATTGTCGTTTGACTGAAGTATTAGTTCAACTATTGGTATGTTTTCGCTGTCTTTGTGATAGAATGTAATGAAGGACCAAGTAGTGACAGTATTCAAATACTGACACCTTGAACAGTTAAGTACCTGTGCACATGCCTAATGATGTGACAATGCATTGGGGAGAATGAGCATTCTATTAATTATGCCATCTAATCCAAATTGATTGTTTGAACAGCAAATTTTGCAGGCAACCAGCACCAGTCAGCAACTCAAGTCAAGTCATACGTGTTAATGTCAACATTTGGCTTTAATCTCATTTGTGAAGAGTGGAAATGAGTTATCATCATTTTTCTTTGTTCAGATGTTGCTCAGAACATAGTGGAAATATCAAATAGTGAATTCAGTATTATCAATCATATAAAATTGTGGGCTTATTTTATCATTACACATGTGGATTTAATGAGGGATAATGGAATATATGTACATTAGTTAAAGGATTTTTCTAGTTTTCTCCCCCATTTAGTCATATTCAGTTCCACCCTAGTTAGGACTCCCCCAGTCACACGATACCACCAGTGCTAGGATGGCGAAGGCAAACGCAAGCTTCCTCCAAGTCATGTGAAGCCAGCCACTGAATTTTTTTGAACTGCTGCTAACACAACCTCATAGAATAGCTGAAGATGCTTGGAGGAGAACACTAACTGCCAGTTGTGTTACTTCAGCTAACAGACACCTGCACTGGCTAGCATTGTGCTGGGTGATGGGGGGAGAGGGAGGGCCATCCCAGAGAGAGCGACTCCAATTGTGCTCTCTTGGACTTCAGGCCACGGATGGCCGAAGCACTGGGGATCGAACTGGTGATCTCCTGATGATAGCACCAATGCTTAGACAGTTGCACCACTTTTTGTCTGTTTCGCTTAAATGTCAGTAGCGTTTCCAGTCACAGTTGTGTGTCCAGCACAATTTTAAATAAGTAAAAAAAAAAAAATAAATTCCTGAAATGCAGCAAAATAATAACATTTTAGTCTAATTGATGCATTGAATAGTTTATAAAACCCTAGTCGTTAGGGTTCATTGTTTTAACTAGCTGCAATGGATGTGCTATGTGAAAGGATAGCTCAGGAATTGACTCTGAATGCGGCCCATTGATTTACTACTGTTCAAACAACACTTAGTCAGCCAGGGGTCAGCAGCTGGCAGGGCTACTCGGAACCCTCAGAAACCTCTGCTTCGTCTGGGGAAATGGCCAACCCTGCACAGACACGGAGAGACTTAGAGTGCATTGATAAGATCTTCAACCTTCTAACCACTTCACTCATTCCGGCATTATAGGACTGGTTGTATTTAACAGCAAATATTAAGCGATATCACATCCTTCTGTTTTGGAAACATAAACGAAAGCAGAGGGAAAAGGTAGTGGGGTAAACATGCCAAATGTCTCTGCGGAGAAAACTGTTCCTGTGGTTGGCAATTTGTGATTGATGCTTTTGATTATAGTAAAAATAACTGTTAATACAAACACAAGGAAAATTTTGGTTCTTGCCAATGTCAATAACCTTGCCCTGGGTCAAGCCTTACCGCCCAGACCTAGAGTCCTCTTTCATTTTGTAAGAATGAGTCTAGAAGGCTGCTGCTCAAAATCCACTTTCCCTGCTTTGATATGACTAAATTGCCCACTATTAGTGTCCAGACTGCTAAAGCATGTGGGCAAAAAAATGGAATTTCCTTCATTCTTGTAACACTGTTGCAGGTTTGATGCCAGGAAAGTGAATGGTACCGAGTGGTTTGCATGAAATGTAAAAACAGATCAGATTTTTAGAGCCCTCTAGCTTATTGGAGACTTGCATGTTGGTAGAAATTTGACTGAATATCATAAAAAATTGCTTTGTCACAATCAGACTATGTAATGACCTGTCCAGGGTGTTTCCTGCCTTCTGCCCAGTGAGTGCTGGGATAGGCTCCAGCACACCCTGCAACCCAGGAGAATAAGCGGCTTAGATGATGAGTGAGTGAGTGAGTCTATGTAATGACTTTAACTACCCTAAGATTGTCCAGTGCTTTAGGTTAAGGGTAATGCCTGAATCATGAATTGACTGAATGTTGCTCAGTGGTTGCCACCCTGTCCTACCAGTAAACTAACAGGGAGCATTATTGCCGATATTGTGTTCAAAGTCTAAAAGATGCTTAGGGCATCTCATAACATTTCCCTAAACGAACTACAAAGTCACCTATATGGTGAGTGGAGTGAATAAAATGGACAGTGATCCTAGAAAAAATTAGGTGGTTTTAATGAAGTGGCCAATCAGTGTATATACATGCACAAAAAGCCACATAAATCAAGTCACAGACTGTTCTGGATGAATCCTTGATGGACAGTGTAATAAAGACCAATGCAAGGC